TAGATACGTTTTCAGTGAAAGGTGTCATTGATTTGCCTACGCAAACGGGTAATATAAGTTTCATTAACGCTACCTTCCTTGTTGTAAATGAGCGTTCGTGGATGCTTTATTTAATTTTTGGGTAGGAAAATGTTGCCGATTTGTGGTGACATTTGTTACTTGTTCACTGGTTACAAACTTGTACATTTTATCTACCCGCTTACAACAATAAGAGAAGAAATTTTAAAAGCGATGTTTATTGCAATCAGGCCGAATATAATTATCTATAAAATTTTGGAAACTTCAATAGTAATTTACGTTAGTTTTTATAATATGCCTATAAAGTTAATTAACTTTTACATTTCTTGAGAATTAAACTCAAAGCAATTCGGCCTACTTTTTAAATTTGCATCTTGTCCTTTATTTCTCGAGGTGTGTATAGTACAATATGGACTGCATACTTTACGCGAAATCACTGATCGACTTTCGATGGCGTTGATAATGACTAACTAATAAAATATGACCAAATAACTTTTCGCTTTAAATGAAAAAATATTCTGTTCAATAAATATTTAAATTTTTTATATGGTGAAATATTAATAAAATGTATTTTATAACAAATGGCCACTTAAATTGTCACTGTCTCTCATTGCAAGTATATTATTGTAAACGAAGTACTTCGATTAATTGTTACTGATTCAAAAGGTTATTGGTTCATATTGGCTTACCGTAATTGGGTTTAAATCACGTAATTGTTTATAAATCACCGACTCAATCAATTAGAAAACCAGATTTAAAAGATCTCAAACTGTACCTATTATTAAATGTATTTTGACTTGATTCAATTGCTTAGTCTATCTTATGAAAATTTACTGTAGCAGTGTTCGTTAACAGATTTTCTTATATAATTCTTACAATAAAAGTTGTGTATTTAGATTACTTGATAAGTAAAATGTAACTTAAGACTTACTGCAATTCATTCCGGACATTTCGCTTGATACTGTCTGCCAGGAACCAAGGATCTCACCTAGACGATCGGTACAATACGCACTGGAAAAATTCAAACATACCAACAAAACAAAATATTAAGTACATTTCCATTGAACATGTGTTTTTTGTCAGTTTGAAATACAACAGAAAATTTTCAGGTACAAGATTCCGCACTTGGTTTCTGGTTTTTTACAGATGCCAAAATTATAAGGGAATGACACAAATGGTGTCTTTTAATAATGTTAACATGTCAGAAAACACTACCAGTTTTAAATTATAACTATATAATTTTTTATCATCTTTTCCTTAAATGTATGTACTTACATGCCATTTCTGATCTGATAAGGACCATAGCTGCCATCGTAGTCGCAGAAAGTGATAGGATTTCCTAAGAAATTTGTACCATGCTCAGATTGCTCCTTGTATATCATATTTAATGCTTGCACGATACTTTCACACTTTCTGAGATACTGCTCGCCGATAATACCAGAACTATCTGTAATTTAAACTGACAGAATTAATGAAGACCTATTGAAAAAAAAATACAAATGGTTTCGGTTTTATTTGCCTGTTAATTAAGGTTTGCAAACTTTATTTATCAAGGATCTTAAAAGTACAAGTGTATTTGGGGTTATTATAGATTTAAGAGATAACATTACGATGACTTTAGTTGTGCCATGTCATGTGATTACACTGAAATTTTGTATTTAAACAAGTGCATTGCAACTGGAGGTCTTTGTTCGTCACATTATAATGTCTGATTCATTTACTTGCGTGCAATTTATTTATTAAGGTAAAGCCTTTATAAGTCTTGCCTTGCTAAATTATTAACTCCAAGATTATGTTATTTAAATCGTATACAGTACTGTTGATGTAAGAAACTATTTTTTCTTATGCCTGACTAGAGAGACCTGATTAGAGTTTAATTGGTTATGTCAAATATTTTTAACGAACCTAGATATTTAGAATGGTTTAGAATCTGTCATTAAATAAGGCCGAGCATCAACGTTAAGCACAATCTTATTCATATTACTTAGAATAACTCTACATGTACACACAGCATGGCAGATATTTCATATCCTCTTCAGGCAAGGGTTGTACAACCGGCTGGCCTGTTCTTGGTTCAGCGCACCAGCACATGCCATCGTCACACTGCAGCCGCTCGTAGTCGCCGGAAGGCGTGCAGTGCAAGCTAACCACGCTCCTTCCAGAATCCTCTAGTTCCTTCCTACGACGGCTGCAAGCTGTAATTACACTATCCTGTTAGATTTCTCCACTTCCTTCACCTTTTACACGTTTCTTCATGTAATATCGATGCGATTTCACCTTCATGTTAAAAATGTTTTGTTTAAAATATCGTTGCACTAAAATTCACCATAGTTTAATAATACCTTATGTTAGTAATATTAGGTATAATGTTTGGTCATGAACTCGTGTCACGTTAGCAGGTAATGTAATACAAAACCATTTTGATAGCGCTGACGTGGTTAGCAGGAGGATGTTAGGAAGGCATGGTTTGAAAAATTACGTAATTATATTATGCAAATTACTATTATATTAAAAGTTAGTCAAAAGTAATTTATTTAAAATTATATGCTGATGGAGTGGGGCTATGTTTGAATTTAAATATAATAAATTTGATAAAACGTATTTGTGTGTTAACTAGTTATATGTTATATTACATCAGTGTTCATGAGTGAGCGTAGACAATGCTTTATCTAGATCTTGCATAAAAGAGACACCAATTACTACCATACTACATATACATGAGTTTATGAGTCCCGCAAAAAATCGGCAAAAGTTAACCTTTCGAAACTTCGAAACTATATATGGCAATAATATCGTAAATCACTATTTTCCATAGTGATGCGATTAGCAATCGTATTAGTAGGTCTTAAAGCTGTCCTTATGAAAATTAGCTCAGCATAACAATTAATGACTATGTTAAGACATAAAATTTCATCTCTATTAATATTTATAAATATGTAAGGATACAACTTCATTATGAAGAGTTTCAATAACTTACCGCAAGTCATATCACTCGCCTCGCTCCTCCACATTTGTCCAAATATTCTGGTCCCGTTTTGGTCCGAGCAGAAACATCTGTGTACAGTGTAAATGTGTAATGTAAACAAGATATCGGCTGGTGCAGTGCGGTGTAACAGAGTCGGTTCACTATGCATTTAGTAACTGGCGGTCGCGACTTTCTGAGCATAGAGAATTTTGAAAAATGCGCGCCTAACAACAAGCAGTAATAGACATCTGATTAATTATTATAATTAGTCTGTTTCCTCTTTAATATATTATTGTAAAGATAACACATCTCTAGATTATTCTTATGGTCATACTTGTGCTGTAAACTTGAACAATTTAAATTCCAATCTCAGGAAATCATCTTATTGTTATAAGATTACTGATTTGGTCAAGAGACAGAATCCTTTGTTGTATTACTCTATTGTCTCCCAGTCCAGCAGACACTAAAAGGACAACCGTAAAACACTTTTATATAACATCAGTGTCTATGAAAACAATCCATTTTCTATTGTATGTAAGAAAATGATGTGTAAAAGAACACACTTATTTGCAATAAAAATTATATGTTTAGCCGTGGTTTACGGATCTGTAGCGGTAACCCACCTTCCGCTGAATAAATCGCCCTTGCACTGCACCGGTGCGTAGCGTCCGTCCGGCAGACAAGCTGCTGGCGGCTTGCACAACGTCTCCGCCTCGGGCCCTATGGCAAATCATTTTAAACGTCATAGGAAATTTTCTTAACAATTTCAAAGGTGTTCAATTACAATTAAATTAACAGAAACACTTTAAATGCAAATAGCAATTAAAGTTTTTTTGTGTATTTAAAGTGTCTAATAACTCTAAAAAAATTTTAGTGTTTTTTTAGGTAAACATTGTATCTACACTTGAGTGGCACATTACAGCAAGGAAACCTTATAAAATGGAGGTGACGTTATGTCTATTGAATGTTGTGAAACAATAAAACTTATATTCAATATCGAAATTTGCGAAATAAAAATGTATTCTACGTAGAACAGGAAACAATATATTAGCATCCGATATTTCTAAAGTCTCTACACTGTCAGTTCTACGTCCTTTGTTGCCACTAAAGCGTAAAAATCTAAATAAGTCTTGTTTATTTTTAGACTCGTGTAGAAGTGTCGACCCCGCATAGAGTGTAGATATATTATAGTTTGTTCCAAATTAGTTCGTACCGGGCTGGCTCGAGGGAGGCTGGCAGCTTGGGCAGCAGCCGAATATACTGCTGTTAGGCTGCAACACCTGGTTGCCGAAGCACTCGTCTGCGCTCAAGTCGGTTACGCACACCTGAGCCACCTCACACTGCTGTCCGCTCACACCAAGCACAGACAAACACACAACAGACACGAACAAACACACAGACCGACCCATAATGAACATCACACTAAATTACTAACAATAAAACTATTATAACTGAAACAATTATTAGCTATTATTGAAATTTTTATCATTCACTACCACTGATAATCTTATCATATTTCGCTTATGTGTTTGCGTTTGTTTAAAGTCGGTAGATTGTTTTGATACAGGATTCCTTTTTGTACTTTATCTTTTGTACGGTAATGGTTGTCGAGTATCAAAATGAATTTATGCTTTTTAATAACTGAATTTCGACTATACGAGGGTTTTCTGATTGTTGTAATTTAATAAAGTTCACATGGTTTTTCAAGGAAAGTTAATATAGCCATGGTTGGTTTGTCGGGTATGAGTAAGTCGTTATCAGCACTATCGCTATCTCAAGTTAAATTACACGGCGAGCTATCGCCTGCCGCGGCGCCGCACCGGCCGCGCTCTAGTGTTCGCTGCGAGCGCGCGCCGCTTGCTTTCCTAGCGCTTATCTGATTATATCATTTTTTTCACACCGAAACCGCGGTCTATTTTCTTATGTCTCGTCTAGTGTCATGTTTATCCTGGATATCTTTATGTATTTTGAATAATTTGTTTTCCAGGTGTGATTGAATCGGCCGTAACCGGCCAGTATGGAGGAGTGTAAGAAGAGAGTGCATGGTACTAAAGTTTCAAAAATAGCAAATATATTCCAAGGAATGCCGTCGAGGGATGACGAAGACTTGCGCGGCGCCGATGTCACGGTCGTGCGCACCGAGAGTCACTTGGCTAGATTCAATAACGCACGAGCGCTATTCGAAAAGTTGGGTGAAGAGAATCGAGGCTTCCGAATCGAAAAATCACCTTCTGCTGCAGCGAGCTTTGCGGGTACGCGCAGCGGCCACCCTCCGGTACCCACGCGGTCGCGCTCCAGCTCTGCAGGCTCAGTTAGTCCGCAAAGGGCCAGCGTCACTCCAACAAATGCTCTTGCGCCGGCGCTTAACGGAGACAGACTCGCCAATGGCGCCGGGCAACCGCCGCCAAAGCCCGTCAAACCTAGCGTTTTGCCCAAACCGGAGAAACCCGATAGGCGATTTAACAAGGAGCTCATTGAAAAACAGAGAAATTGGACTGCACATTTCAATAAACAGCGGCCGGTGCGGTACGAACACGAACAGAGGCCTGAGCAAAAATATGGTCCCGGACACGTTGACAGAAAATCGCCAGAAGTCGCTGAGAGGTATGTCGTCCCATCTCGAGTATATTCACCGCCGCTGTCGCCCGGAGCTGGTGACTTGCAAGCAGAGCGACCTACGACTCTTCCTTCATCGTTAGTTACTCGCGGTGTGCACGTAGCGAAGTCTCCTAGTCCTGTAAGAACCGTTGCTGCGGTGTCGCCTTCACCAAGGTCAAGTAATACACTGTCTCCCACCGCAAGGACTTCACCAACGTTCAAAGCAGAGCGAGTTTCTCCGAGTAAAGATGTTGTCCAAAATATTGGAAACAACGAAAGATTATGTGCCGGTAATAGATCGCCAGTAGTTAGTGACATAGACAGTGATACGGCTGAGTCAGAATCGGCGAATGTTAGTAACTCCGTACAATATCCAAATGTGGCACCAAAACCTGTCGAAAGAATATTAGCCGCTCAGACTTCTCCTGTTTCACATTCGACATCGGATCCGTTGGCCAAAAGGCCACCGCCTTCGCCTCCCATACGAATGCCAAGGTCTCCGCCACCTCCCATACCTCAAGAGAAAATCACACCTCCACGTGACAGCATTCCTACTGAAGCGTTCACTGAAGACAGAGGTATTGCTTTTCCCGATATTATCGACGATTTACGTGTGCAACCTGTACCACCGAGAAATCGAAGATCTCCTTCCAAATCTCCCGTGCCCCGCCCCGCATACAACGATGTTTCCGCACCTACCTCTCCTCTACGACGAAGCGCAGATATCTGTGACAATGCACGAAGATCGCCATCTAAGAGTGGGGATTCCGAAGATGAAAATTACATTGTTTTGCAATACGGATACGATTCTAATGAGAAGGGGAAGAGTAAACGGCGGTCATCGACGCCCGAGTCGCCGGCGAGCGCCCTCCCGGAAGACGATGCGTCCCGGTCGCCGCTGACGTCGCCCGCGGCATCCCCGGTGCACGGTGTCCCCGTCACGCCGCCTCTCCTCGCTTCTCCAACACATCGTAAGTTTTTTATTTATTTTTTGTACAAACATGTTTTTGGTAGGAGTATACAAAAACTTATCTATGTTACTACACATTATGATAGCATTTATCACAAACGCAATGATTTACATTTAAAAAAATCTAAGACTATTAATACTTTGTTAATATCACGTTCGTTTTGCAGACGTGTATTGGTTATGTAAATTTTATAGTTATTAGGCGCGAGAACTTGTCTTATAAAAGCTTGAATTTAGGTCAAATACAAATTCATCGATTAAGTGTTCACATTAAACTTTTAATAAACGAGATAAACAACTAAGTGCAAACAGTTAACGTAAACAAATACGTATTATATTAAAATGGAAAAGCGGGTTTATATTTTATTTGTTATCTATAGTTGCAATTGGGATAAAGAAGTAAAGGTTTCTATTTTGAAATTTTTTATTTAAAACGTAGATAGTTTTATTTTGTAAGATAAGAAGGAATGGAAAATTAAACGATTGTACCAACAGTTTTTCGTACTGTCACAGTAGGCAGTAAATTAACCTAAGCAGTGTATCGGTGGGCGGCAATTGACGTACTTTTGGCGGTCTCGTGGTCGACGGGTTCAATGTAATATTGAGGAAGTCAAGGTATTTGAGTCGGCGCGAGAGTTGCGACTCGATCCCGATTTAGATGGTCGGGCGCCGCCGCCGCCGCGACTCCGCCGCGACGCAGTGCCCCGGCCGCCGTCGCCGCGCGCGCCCCGTAACCCCGCACCACATAATTACTGACACAGCATCTACATTGGAATCAAATATTAAACTTGTGTCTTAGTTCAGTATCAAATTGTGCTTTAAAAATACGCATGATTTGTAAGAAATCGAGATCTGTTCAGGATACCGTAGCTTTTATTATGTCCATGGTCTCGATGTTTGTTCATCTGCAAGATTTAGTGAGTTTAGACTGGGCTTCATAAATGTAACGCGTGAATGTGCTGTTTTTGTTTCGGGCTTCTCGGTACGTGTTTTGATTACGCGGTATGTTGGGCGCGAGAAACTAACTCGAGAGAGGTTATCGGTTGCGATTTCGATCGTTCAATAGTTGCATTTAGTCTTAATTGACATCGGCCGGTCGAGTTCGCCAGTCGTTCATCAAACTGTCTAAAGAGATCTATCAATTAACTGTTATCTCGTTTGTGCGTAATTTTAAAGTGAACATTCGACAATAGCAAATAGGTACTCAGTAGTGAAATGTCCGTAATTTGTTTTGAATTATTCGATTCTAAAACAAATTTCTTCTGATCAAAGTTGGCAAGTAGATTATCTTTTAGTGTGCTGCTCAGCAACAAATTGTAATACGCAACCGGACATTATTTTTGCGAGAAATGATTATCTCTTAATACGTAAATATAATTTCAATACAAGCCAAATTAAATTTTATTATTAAGAGTTGTAAGTGTAGTTTGGATCATAGCTGCGGTAAAGAAGTTACCGAAGACAGTGAGCTGAGTGTTGGAGGGCGATTTCCTGTGTCGGTGCAAATAGGAGCGTATGAGTGAGTCGTTTCATTGGGATTGCGATAAGAGGAAGGAGACAGGTCGCGTGGAGCTAAAGTTGCGCGTGAGCGTACGGACGGCGACTGCGAAAGAGGGCGCGGCGAGATGCGGCTGTGATGCGCGCGCTCGCCCGCCGCACACAATGCGCCTCTGCGGCTGTTGCATCGGTTAGTTATGCACATGCATTGTTTATGCGCACCGCGATGTCCTCATCATTCATTCAATATATCCCCCACTTCTAAACTAATACATCCATTGTCTCGTGTTGCAAAAGTGACCCAATCGTTTGCGTGTGATATGATTAAAGGGTGAACGCACCCGTCTTCATTTTTTAATTAGTTACTATTGTGAATCAATTCAATTTGACGATTGTGTTGTGAAGAGTATTGGGTCAATTCATTGACAATTAAGAAAAATGCAGTGTATTAGGTGACTAACAGATAGTGATTTTCCTATTGCGAATTGGAAGTGGCTTAGCATAAAAAAGAAAATGTGGTGGCATACATGCAGCTGGATGACTCGTTCAGTCGTTATCCCTTTTCTAGAATTGTACCAACTCTTGCTACGATGTGCTCGACGTATGTACGTTATTCTTAATGTAAATGTTTCGTGTTTACTGTTTGTCTAAATCCCTCTTTCCAAGTAATACAATAAATAAAGAATCCAAGTAAATAAGAACATTTATCCATAGCTTCTGGTGACCATTCCTAGTACATTATTTCTTTTTCTAGATTTTTTTTCAATTATAACTATTTCTCGAGTAACAATTGAGGTTTAAATTGTGCTACAAATAATAATAAAAAAATATTTAAAGTCTGTATTCTTAATATATTATTAGGTATCGTTTTGTGTTGTAGTAAATTATGTACCATATGCTTCATGATATTTTGATCACTTCAGTAAGTTCGAAATGTTGTTAATAGCTTTAGAGCTTACTTGCATTAGAAAGTACGTGAAAGTAAAATAGACACCCTTTGTACGGGACTGTGCAGGTTATGTACGAATAATTTTAGTTGCTTTGTGTTTCACCAACTCGTATTTTAACAAATATACATATTTCTAATAACAATATTTAACGTAGTTATCACTATTAGTTCTGGGTCATAAAATTCAGTGCGTGGGGAGATCCGCCCGCCAAGGTTATTCCAAAGTTTTTGACAAGAATCCGTATATGGAAAGTCGATCAATTAGGGTTCTGCCAACTTTACTGCCATGTCGGTTGTTTACAGTTTACGAGGTACACACAAAAGTTAAAAAGTTATTCATACATCCCATTATGAAGGAAGTTATAACTTTCCATACTTATTATGCAAGTACTTGTTTACACTTATGTAAATTCGTGTTAAAGTCAATTAAGTAGTTTTGTAACATCGGTTACTTAATATAATTTAGTTAATTGCCTTAATTATAATTTAATCAATGAAATTCTTTAAATCAATCATGACAGCAAGCACAGCTGCGTGTTTACATATGTACTTGTTGTTTGTTGTTGAGTTAGCATTTGTAGCAGTTCATATTTTGACCTAGTTGTAATAGACGTAAAAACACATACACATAATTTATTACTCGTACATAAATTCAAGTAAATGGTCCAAACATTTTAAGTTAATTTTATTCAAGTGAATGAATATATTTAATTGTAGGAATTGTCTGTTTCTAGATAACGGAGTGTTTACTTTTTATAGCTATACAAATATAATGTTTAACAGCGTCTTGTGTCGTGAGGCAAACTAAATTGGAATGAATGTGGATGAGTGTTAATTAGTAAATTGGAAGAGGCGTCTTCTGTCCCGCGCCGCGCCGTGCCGTAGCAAATTGGGAGCCATTGTCTCAGTTTCAAACAAGACGAGAATGTAACACGTGTCATCCGTCATGTAACATTGAAGCGTCGTGTTACTATGAATTTTAAATACATTTCAGGCGATAAACACTATAATTGTAAGAAAAAACCTTTTTTGTTTTACAATCTCTGACCATTGAAATTTGGGTTAGCATAACATATTGGTTTGGTCATTGTGTTATGGATAAAAAAAATATCGTAATATAATGTAATAATTTGCTGCAAATGTTAATATACAGTGAAGTTTAGTTCGTTATTTTTATTCTAAAGGCGTTTTGTTTATGCACGGCGCCACGTGAAATCGGCAAACACCTGCGGTCGCCAGCCTCGGCGAAAATAGTACTAACCCAATTTCAACGTGCTTCATTCAACTACTCACAGAGGTCCACGTATTGATAAAAATATTCCCTTACAATTAATTTTTAAAATGAAAACGAAACTTTTTAACTGTAAATTCAACAGAAGAGATAATTTACACCTAGGTCTATTTTCTAGTCACAGACGACATTTTCGCGTTGAGAATATGATACTACAGCACTAGATGTATTTTATGTAAATTAAAAATCCTACCAAATTTAATGCTGAACCTGGAAGATCTAATGTGAGAAATTTTCTATAAGGTGCTCATTTTGTTACTAATTAACAAAATATGTATTTCAGCGGGCGGAGGTCGCAAGTCGTCGACGGAGGAGGGCGTGCGGCGCGCGTCCAGCGTGTCCGACGAGGGCGGGTTCAACGAGCCCTCGCCCGACGTCGCGGCGCTGCGACCCGCTGAACGCGCCCGCTCCGACCCTGACACCCTCTCCGTACTGCAGCAGGTACAAACACAACAGCAGAAGTTTTTTTATATATCATAAGGTGACAAACGAGCACTCGGCCATCTGAATCTGCCGAAATGGCGAAGCGATAGCTAGCCATAGACATCTGCAGTTGCAGATGCTTTGCCTACCCTTAATCGACGGGAGAGGAGACGGAAAAATAGAATAGTTTTGTTTTCTATGCGCCTCCTGTGCCGCCGCCGCCAAATCCACTTTCCTTTCCTATCCTTTCCTCTTAAGAAAGGGTGAAAAGAAAAAGAGACTAAAATCTGGCCTCTGGCACCAAAGAAAATCGAAAAGTGGAATTGCTTCCACTTCTAGCCTGTAGTCAAGGTGGTCGTGGTATTGCACCGGGCGAGCCGGGTCATTCATGCGAAGATGTAAAAGCGGGCTCTACCACTGTTAAATTGTTAGTTTTGATAATACACAGTAATGTTACTACTATAATATTAAAATGCTATTGTTATTGAATACAAATGTTTTTGTATGGTGTTTGTAGGATTCTGGTGTTGTGGTGAGCGAGGCGAGCCAGGGCTCCATCGAGGTGCTCGACAAGTCGACCACCAGCCAATGGAGCGTGTCGGAGGCGGAGGCGGAGGCGGAGGCGGAGGCGCCCTGCAGCGACGCGGCGCACGCGCACGACGCCGACGACAAGCAGCCCGACAGCATGACGCCCGACGAGGCGGAGATACTTCTCAGCTCCAGGTAGACAAACATCTTCACTTTAACCTCATCTACCATATACTATTGAAAGTATACTCTAATCCAGTGATTCTCAACCATTGTGCCGCGGCACTTTTGTGTGCCGCCACATTTTGCATATTTTTGTCATAAATTTTAATGCAGTGTGTTGTAAGTCAATAATTTTTATCTTTTTCTTTGTGTGCCGCCAACTTTTGAAATAGCTAAATATGTGCCGCAACAAAAGAAGGTTGAGAATCACCGCTCTAATTCTTTGTAATATTTTCTAAATGAGAACTGCAGTGTCAATGTGACTCGTCAAGTAATTAGTGCTAACTGCTTTCTCTCTAGATTTCATCTTCAAGTGTGAATCCACTAGGCGGTTGACATTCTGATGATGGATACAATTGCTTTGAAATTTAACATGCAAATATTGATTACACATTGTAGATATAAAATAATCGACCTTTTAATTCTATTTGACACTAACAGTGACTTATTTTTAGTATTCTATAATACTGTAAAATAACAAATACTTACGGTGAAATATATGCGTAGTATCTAAAACAATATTATACTTATTTGATTATTTCTGACTTCTTTTGCTTGCATTTTATTAATGAGATCTGGCTTTTTAAAATACTTTCAATTTTTCATTTCATTTGTTGTTTTATCCTTTATTTCGTGTATTATTAAAATCTATTATTCTCTTTTTTTTCTCCTAAGTATGTAATATTTTTAATTACTGTAATTTTCTTTGTATTTATGTCTATGCTTGTTATGAAAATTAAATGTCGTATTTTTTACCATTTGCATGCTGCCTGTGCGCACAACGCTTCATTCTTGCCCGATCACATTTGCAGCATACTGGAGAAAAAACTTAGGTAAGACCGCTTTATATGTAGTTCTAGATTTTGTGGTTTAAAATTATTGTAGATTATAGATTTAATTTAAGTAACCGATTAAAGCGGATTGTGCAGACATTGTTTCGAATTCATAGTCGAATTTAATGGAAATGAGATATTATAGTACATATCACTGCTGGACAATATTATTTTCTATTCATTTGTTCTGTAAATTTTCAGTAATTAAATTGATGATAAAAACACCTCTGTTTGCAACAAATTTGTGACTAGGCCGTTTTTTGCTAAAAATAATTAAGATTGGTTTGTTGCTTTTTCTCATTTCGCTTATATTCGACTATAGGCTTGTCTGTTGTTAAATTTGACAAATATTTATTTAGTCAATAATCGTTAAAATGGAATATCAAATGTTTTGAAAAAAGAACGTTTGATGCTTCTTTGTTTTAATACTCTGTGTGTATTGCACAGGCAAGAGGGCCTGCTGTCGGACGAGCAGGCGCAGGAGATCGTCGCCATGCTGTCGCCGCACGCCCCACACGCCCCTCACGCCCCGCACCCAACACTCCCCGCACGCCCCGCACGCCAACAATGAGAACGGTGTCTCGCTCAACGACAGCTACCAGTCCGTGCTCTCGTACGAGAGGTAAGTATCACTAAACACACAGCTAATGGCTGACTATAAAAAACATAGTGAAATCTCTTTTACGACAAAACATTCTCAAAACAGTTATTTTCGTATTTATATTGAAGCTTCACTCGATCGAGCAAACAGCATCATTTTATTGTATGCAGTATTATAACAAAAACTTTCGGAAAAGCACTACCAGGGATTTTTAAAGGTTATGTTATAATTGTTTTTTTTTTGTACTTTTTCAGCATGCAGTCAGTGGATGAAAGCTACGAGTTTGTGTCACTTGAAGCGGACAATGGCACAGTGTCGAGCGACCGCCGACACGACGACGAACAGGACAGCGAGAGAGTGGAACATATTGAACACGCGGAACATGCTCAGCAACAGGAACAAGTTCCACGCCCGGAACATGTTTCTCGCCCGGAACATGTTCCCCGCCCCGAACATGTTCCCCGCTCGGAACAGGAGCAGAATCGCAAGGAGCCGGATCCATCAGAAACAGTATTTGATTACTACCCGCCGCACCCGCTGCGAGAACTCGGCGAGGAGAATGGGATACATTACTTTGAAGATGGACATTTTTATACTGAGGTAATATCAATAATACTTTTTCATGATGCAGAGTTGAGATTTTTAAGTTTAAAAGGATAGAAGAATTGCTAGTTTTAATTTTGTTAAATGATATTTTATTGTTACTATATCCAGGTTGCTGGACTTCCACCGGTCGAGGATGATGAAGACGAGGATTATTACCCACCAGTATTTGTTAAGAAGAATTCCAAAGTTAAATTCAGGTATAGCATATTAAAAAGACCATTTTTAAAGAAAGTTGAACTATACTTTTTAATGGCATATGTTATTATGTATTATAATTTCTAGCTTGTATTGTCGTGGTTAAATTTTGTGTTCGATCTACGACAAAGAATTCGATCATATCAAAGATTAGTATAGTAGAATAGTTAACTAAAATCACAAATTAATACTAGCTGTTGCTCGCGATTTCGCCCACGTGAAATTGAAAATCATAAAAATAGCCTTTGTTACTCAGTGAAAATGTAACTCTTTAATGGTGAATCATTGAAATCCGTCCAGTAGTTTTTGAGTTATTTCAATAGATACAGAAATCCAAAAAAATAAATCTTTCCTCTGTATAATATTACAGTAAATAGTATAGACAAGGGTAAATGTTTTGCAGCACGCAGCCGATGCGCGTGTTCTCTACGCACTCGGTGCGGGAGTACGACCGCCGCAACGAGGACGTGGACCCCGTGGCCGCCTCCGCGGAGTACGAGCTGGAGAAGCGCGTCGAGAAGATGCACGTCTTCCCCGTCGACCTCGTCAAGGGCAACGACGGCCTGGGCCTCTCCATCATAGGTACACTTCAATAACGAAAATACCATCTCAGTGTTGAAGTAGGCCAAAAAGACAACAATAATTGAGTTGGTCCTTCCAAGTACAGTCGCGGACACTGGCGGAGTTACAAGTTTAAGGCTGTACAATCGTTTGAACATTTTTGACGCGGAACAAAAATCAATACAACTCAGCTTATAAGTGTATCTGCACGATTATTTCTATGCCTTCGTTTGCACAACTATCTAGTTTTGCTAATTAGTTACTTGTAAGAAGAGGCGGAGTTTGTCTCTTTGCAACAAACAAGGCAATTTTTTCTGAAAGGGAACATCGCGCAATTCCGCGACTGTACATGATACATTTTTGGACCTACACGTCAATATTTAGTATGTTCAGAAAAGTTATTACTTAAATTATTTGAAAATTGCAATCAAACATCAAGTTTTAAACATAAAGCTATTGCCAATAGCTTTAACTTCTTTATTGGGTTGTTTATTTGTGACCTTGTAAGTATGATCTCTGGAAGGTATGGGCGTGGGCGCGGACGCGGGTCTGGAGAAGCTGGGCATCTTCGTGAAGACCATCACTGAGAGCGGTGCGGCCGCGCGCGATGGACGCATACAGGTCAACGACCAGATCATTGAAGTCGACGGCAAGAGCCTGGTCAGTACACATTTGTTATTTAATTATTGGTAATTGATATTTTAAATTTATCTTTACTCTATAATGGCTAACTGACTACTAGGAATAATATTATGCAGTAGACTCCCGTTGCCTTCTGCATTAGACATTTAGAGAACTGACCGCCAACCTTTACTAGTCGGAGAGGCACCTTAAGAAAAATACTGTTTAATCTATGCTTCTATATTAATCTATACTAGTATAGTAAAGCGTAAACACGTATTACTTTGTGGCTTAGGATGTTAGCAAACACAGCATACTTTTAAATAATTACCACTTTAATAAAAAGCCCTACAGTTACAACACTCTTTAAGCTATATATTTTCACGCTATTAAACTTAGGGAGTATATAATTTAAAAAACAAAAGGGGATAGAAACTACAGCAATATGAAGGAGACAAGGTTTCCATGGTAACGGTAATTGTTATCCAATGTCAAATGCGATTATTGTCATTTGTGAATTTTGACATTTGCAATTGAGAATTTGACAAATGTAAACAATAATTTTTTTTTTCAATTTCGTGCGATATAAATAATTTTATTTGTGTTCAAGGTGGGAGTGACGCAGGCGTACGCTGCATCAGTATTACGCAACACGTCGGGGCCAGTCAAGTTCCTCATCGGTCGCGAAAAGGACCCCGAGAACAGTGAAGTGGCCCATCTCATACGACAGTCACTGGCTGCGGATAAAGAGAGAGAAGAAAGGTTGGATACAATTTTAATAAAAAACTTCTGATTTTTTTTAAATGGAAACTGTCAATAAGTTGTGTAATCGTGTTAACAGAGCGGCTCGAGAGAGGCAGCGCCGGCAGCAGGCGGAGGATGAGGACAGCAACCAGCAGTCGTCTGCAGAGGCGGCCGCGCAAGCACGACATCCTGATATCAACGAAATACGCGCCTTTTTGCAAGAGGTATTTCTATGTGATTTGTTTATTTTTCTGCCTTATGAAGTATTTATGAAGCGACTTTCGCCCGCGACGTGGTTCGCGTGAAGTTAAAAAAAAACAAAAGCATGTAGCTAATGTCGTTTCTGCACTATGCTCTACATCAATGGCAAAATTGATTGAGATCCCTTTAAAAGTTTAGTCTATACAAAATAATGAAATCCATCCATCCGTACATAAAAACTTTTATATCTAACTTTTCACTCTATCTTACTAATATTATAAGTGCGAAAGTTTGTATGGATGGATGTTTGTTATAGTTTGTAGTCTAGGCGGCTGAACGGATCTCGATGAAATTTGCCATAGATGTAGAAGATAGTCTGGAAGAACACAAAGGCTACTTACTTTTGTTTTTTTTTTATTCCACGTGAACGGATTCGCGGGCGAAAGCTAGTTTATAATATTAGTAAGAAGGAAAATGTGTATAATGTTTATGTAATATTTGTCCAGTTGGTGGGTATGGAGGCGGGCGGCGGGCGCGGGGAGGAGATCAGCGCGCGCGTGCGGGAGTGGTGCTCGCGCCGCGCGCCGCCGCACCCGCCGCACCCCCCGCCCTCGCAGCACGCCCTCGCTCGCGCCGCCGACGCCCACAGGAAATATGACAAAGTCATTATTTCAAATAGTTTAATAAATCTAGTAATATAGCACCAATAGCCTAATGCTTTGGAGTACAGACTACCGATTGCGGTCGAGGGTTCGAATCTCACCATTTGACTATTGTCGTGAACCTTGCACAAGCCTAAAGTTTAGGTGGAATGGTTAAAGAAAATATTAGTGAATTTAAAAAAAAATAAATATTTTATTAAGCAAAAAAGTAGCCTACGTAACCCGGTGTTAGTGTAGGGTTAGTAGTTTTAAGTGACTATCGCAACAAATACATCTTTCCTTTCTTACATTATTGCAGAAAAGTAAACAAGATGTAGTGTACACGATTTGTAAATAAAGGCATTTAATTGAGATGTGTTGTAAGCCGTGTGCGGTGTGCAGGCGCGGCGCGCGCTGCGCGGCTGGCGGCGCACGCGGGCGCTGGTGCGCGCGCGCGAGGAGTGGTGGAGCGGCTCGCTGCGGGACGCGCACCGCGAGTACGCCGCCGCGCTCTCCGCGCTGCACGACCGCGTCGCGCGCCTCGAGGTCTTGCTGCTCGTAAGTCATACATATACACATTATTTATTTACTGGCTGTTCCTGTGTCGCTTCATCCGCATGGAATTTAAAAAAAAAAAAAACAAAATTGAGTAGCCTATGTGTTCTTCCAGACTATCCTCTACATCGATATCAAATTTTATCGAAATCCGTTCAGCCGATTAGACTACAAACTCTAACACACATCCATCCATCCATCCATCTAAACTTTCTCATTTATAATATTAGTGTGATATAAGTATACACAACAGCTAATTTAATTACACAATTACATAGGAAAATAGAAAACAAGTAGCACTAAATTAGCCAACAGGTGCATAACATTATGAAAAACAATTTATTAAAAATAAATTTTCTAAGTTAAGTACATAAATTATAAAGCGCCAAACAATATAATGCAATTATAGATTTTAGTATTTATTAAAATTAAATAAGATTAAGTATTTACATTACTTTATTTTTAATGCTACTTTTTGATAGATGAAAAATATCTACATCACTAAAGTGTTTATTGTACAGGCGGGGTACTCCAGTAAAAATGGAATTCTTACTATAATTAGTTCGGTGATATGGAACATGAAACAACAATTATTAACCATATTCTTTGCTTGTTGACTTGTGAGTTATTTAATTCTCATTACACAGGAAACGCAAAAGAAGGCGGGACTGCCCGTGATGTTGCCGCACGAACCGTCCGCGCGCCGCGAGACTCCGCCCCTGCCGCGGCGCCCCGACCCCGACCCGCTCATGATTGACGGTAAATACAACACCCTCGTACAATCTGTTTAGTTATTTAATATAAGAATGTATGTATTTTGCTTGCTTTTTCGTAAAACGCACTTAGTCAATTTTGATGTGTTATTCACAGATCCATGGAGCTCGGACAGCGATCTATCAGACTTATCGCCGATAGAAGACGAGTACGCGAAAGTGGACAAGTCTGACAGGCGGCAACGCGAGGCGCCCGACATCGGCGACGTGACTGCCCCCGCCCCCGCCCCCGCCGCCGACACCCGGCCCCCTCTGCCCGACACCAAGCCCGCCCTCGCCCCGCCCTCCACCACGCCTCCCGCCTCCGTCGCCCCGCAGGTGCCCGCCCGCGCCCCCAGCCCGGCCGCCGCACCCGCCGCCGCGCCCGCCGCTAGTTCTGCCTCCGTCAACAACTATCCTACCACCACATATGATAATCTGTAAGTATTTCTACAATAGAAAATATGCATGCATTTTTGACACGATCTAAAAGTTAAAAGTTGGCATAATACATTACCTGCAGGCTGTACGTACTTGAAAGGATTTTATAATAAAAATGAATAGACTGAAAGTAATGTACTGTACGTTGTACAGCAGTGGCAGCGGCACGATGCGCAGTTGCAGCTCGGTGGGGTCTGCGGGGTCCGGGGGCGCGGGGGGCGCGGAGGGTGCGGGCGGGGCGTCGCGCGAGCTGGACGCGGCCGTGCCCCGCGGCGCGCTGCTCGACACGTCGGCGCACCGCGCGCGCACCGACCTCGCGCGGCTGCGCCCGCACGCGCCGCACTCGCCGCACTCGCTCAGCAACGCCAGCTCCGTACTGCTACTTTTAATGTTCTTTCACAACCTATATGCAATACTTCATGGTGGTCAATATTAGTCTCTTTCGCTTTCCACCATTTTCTTATAAGGAAAGACTGGGAAGGAAATAGATTTGACAATGGATGAGATGCATAGGAAGGGGAAATATCCTTTTATCGCTCCTTATCTGTTAATGAAGGGTAGGCTTATATGGTAGCGATGGCTACAGAGGCTACAAAGAAGACCGAAGAAAGTATGGATTGATTGTATGAAAGGTGATATATAAGATTCACATGTGACGGCCGATAGAAATGTATTAAAGAGCAGCACATATTCCGATCCTTCGTAGGGACAAGGGCATTTTGTTTATGACACACAGTACGTAGTTTAAATTGTTTTTTTTTATTGCAGTACGATGGCCTGGATGACTCTTATAATGATTCAGCCGACGAGTCATTGAGCGAATCCACTTCAGGACCGCCGCATTCTAATGTCACGGTATATACAAAGAATGAGATCAAAGTTAACACTATTATTCCAAATTAAGAGTAAACATTTGACGCGTTACATAAATTGTTCATTGTTTTTTATGATATATGATGTCGAAGTTATATTCGATAATTTACGGAACCCAAAATAATGTGTGTTTATTGTATTAGCGGGACACGCGGCAGAGCTGCGGCAGCTCCATCGGCAGCGCGACAGACGACGCCGTGTACTCGCGCGACCACCGACACCACCCCCTGTCAGGTACACCCCCCACCCCCACACATACTTATATACACGCAATGTTATAGCTTCCGCAAATGTGTAAGACTGTTGCGTTGGAAATCTTATTTACATGCTACATTATAATGTATCTACACTTAATGACCGAGATATCTATATTATATGTATTTACTATTTTATGTAAATGATTATTACTTTTGCTATTAATTAATTCAATTATAATGTTGTAAATAAGATTTATATGCAACTAATTTGTTTGTGAATAATATTGCTTTATGTAACTCATACATCACGCACAATGCTTTACAGAGTTGTAATTCAAGCTGATTATATATTGATCATATGTTACTGAAATATAGCGGGTTTCATCATACCATACTATATGTGAGGGTATCATAGATTTTGAGATTGCATTAAATGGGATAGTAGATATACATTACAACTAATAGCAGCTACAAAAAGTTTAAAAGTAAATCTGAACACTTATTTCGATAAAATATAAATATCACAAAACTATAGGTTACATTTAAATCTATTATATTAAAATATGAAGTATGTAATTTATGTTTTCTTCTAATAAAATCATAAGGACCTCCGATTTAACAGTAGGTATAGAATAAGATATATGGTGTAAAGCAACAATAGGAAGACGTAGTAGTAGTTGAGTGATACGGTTAGGTCCGCCGGCGTCGCTGGCAGAGCAACTGAAGCAAGTGCTGGCGGAGCGCGAGCGCCGGCTGGCGGGCGCGCCCGACACGCACGCCCCCCTCGCGTCACACGCCCCGCACGCCGGCCACGCCCCCCTCGCCGGCCACGCCCCCATCGCCGGACACGCCCCCCTCGCCTCGCCGCACCCAGACCCCGTGCAACTCACCAACGAACTCGTCGATGAAATAAGACAGGCCGTCAGCGAAGCCAACGCACGAGGTTTGTATTATTCGGATAGAGTTATTACAATATCTTATTACTATTGAACCGGGTTTTTTTTCAGTCATAAACATGTCATATTACACATGATCTTTAGTTTTTGTAGACAATATAAGTTATAATAGAGGTACAAATGGTGCATACAAAATTATGGTTATGGTATAGACAAAACATAACCATAGTAACGGAATCTCAAATTCTTTTAGAAATGTCAGTTGAGTGCCACTAAAAATAATACGTTCTCGTTGTAGAAGATTTCGATCAAGTTCGACTTCATTTGTTTTTATGCTTTTAAGTTTTAGTGTAGTTTGCTTTTTATTTGGGTGGTGGATACTATTTTGTGTTTTTTTATGTATGTATGTTGTAGTGTTGTATCTGTTTACGTTTGTGTTTTATTATTTTAACCATTGACACTTTTATAACCATAATAAAAGATTTAATTAATTAGTAATAGTTTTAGAAAGATCTGCATGTGGGATTAGATTATATTCATACAATAAAACACCCGTTTTCACTTGCAAAAAAATATTAGTTGAATTTCGTTCAATCAACATTGGTTGCGGAATGACTAAGGATTTTTTTATGTTACATTTAGTTATAGTTTTTTGATATGGCTTATCTCAAATAAAAAAAAAATATTTAACACAAATGATGTCCCTGTAGTAAAGTTAACTGACTCTTACACCATGATTATTATAATTCTGTGTTTTTTTATTGTATTAAAATATATTTAAGTAATTCCAGTAAATACTAATGACATATTAAGATATTTTTTAAAAGAAAAGTTTAGTCTTCCGCTACCAATGTGCAGGGATTTACAGGTCTCGGTATACACTATAGCGCCTTTCTCAGTTTCATAGTAATAAATAAATAAAAATGCCCTTTTGTGTTACATATTAAATTCAGAGTAAATATAAAATGAAGTCGTCCTAGTAACTTGAAAATTGTTATCTTTTGCCTATCAATAAAAAAAAGATAATTATTTGTTCGGCAAATTTTTTAACTATTTTTTAGAACAGGAATATTAAATAATTGTTAGTTAAACAATGGGTGAAGGGCGGAAGTTTATAAACTGTCTCTTTGTGCCCTTATGGTAAATAGAGTAGTGTAATAAGTAGTAAGAAGGGCGCTATAAGGTGTTGTCCGGGTACCGAGGTGGGTGACGGAGCGGCGAGTGAAGGCTGCGGGTGTGGTTGTAGTGAAGAAAGCTCCGGCTTGTGTAGTCGGCGGCGAGGTGCCGTGGCAGCCGCTGTCGGCCGCCGCCTCCGAGGCCAGCCTGTCGCCGCCGCCCGCCGCGCTCGCCGCGCTCGCCGCGCAGCCCGTCTCGCACTGGACCAAGCAACAGGTGACTACTACCCTTCAATGTACTATCTATACAAATATAATGAAGAGTAAACACACACTACTTCGTGGCGTAGGATGTCAGCGATCACAACATATTTTTGAATATTCCTTTCTTTAATAAAAAGCCATACACTTACGACACGCTTTAGTGGGTAAAGAAACACTTATAGAAGACTTTTGACTGGCAGATTTTATAACAATTTCCAACGCAAATAAAAGTAATATTTCTTGGAGCGATTTTTAAATCTCACTATATACTGTAAATAAACATATGTAATTGAATGTTTAGGTATGGCAGTGGGTGTCGGGTCTGGGGGAAGGGTTGGAGCGTCACGCGGGCGCGTTCGCGTCGCGCGGCGTGGACGGCGCCCTGCTGCTGGCGCTGAGCTCCGCGGACCTGAAGCTACTGGGGCTGGGCGGCGACCAGCGCAGGCGCATGAAGCGCCGCCTCAAGGAGCTGCGCTCCGCACACGAGAAACATCTCAAAGCGCTCAAGAAGGCGGAAAAGAAGGCCAAGAAGAAATAAACATGCCGATGCAAACGACTGTTAGTACTAAACGTTATTTGTAAGTGATTGAAGTACGCCAGATATGAAAATACGAACTATCCAGTTAAGGTAATGTGGAACTGTTGAACGGAAACGATGACTTGCTCACTAATCAAAATTTTTCGATTGTCGTAATTTAATGCCTATATAAGGCTCTAGTACTTATATAAAATTTAAAAGTAATATTCGTGACTTCTAAAAATATAATTCCCCGATTAGTGAAACTTAGAGTTCCGAATTACCACGAAACTACTTAAGCGCTAGTACGCACCAAAGATCCAGTTTGCACACCCTTCAATGTGAACCTTTTTAGACTTTTTAAGTACTTTTTACTAAACTATATAATTCTATCTCATGGTAGAACGCTTTCGGACTCGTTAGGTCATTAGTATAATCACAAATAAATGTATGTGGTTGTATGTCTAAATGTTTCTACTTACTACTATTTAGGACCTTTTCTTTATAAAAATAATAATCGAAGTAAGAATTATTGGAATTGGATCTTTAGACAGTATTGTATAAATATTGTGTAGGAACAATGTAACTACATTTTACATAACAAGCCATTTACTAATAATATTGTTAATTTATGTTGATGACCAATAAGACAACAGAATTTCATCAAAAGGATTTATTTTGTATACTAACACAACACAGGTAATTATATTTTCTAGCAAAATATATTTCTTGCCAATTTATAGTAAACTTAGCCGTAGATTTTTTTCTCTAAAACCTATGAAATGTACTAGTAAATTTTAGATCTCTTACTTGTGCTGTTTGTTTCTATAGATTTGTTTGTCCTCGTGTGTATTAAATTGTAATTCTCGTAATTGTTTATGGTCATCACATAGAGGCTATGTGAGGTATAAAAAACCTATATGAATAAAATTTTCCTGCAATTTACTGGACTTAATAATCGTACCTGTAACAATCGAAGCTTTTTGCTTGTATTGGTTTATATAAAAGACTTCGAATTTTTTATAACATTCTGTTTTAATAAACTGTTTTGATATTCTATCATATCATTGTGAATTGTGCTTACCCTGAAATGAACGTGTCTGAGCGCAACGAGTGCCATCTGAGCTGTAGCTTAGTTTAGTGAGGTTAGTGCTTCGAACGATGAAACGAAATAAGTTGAACGAAATTTGGTAAATTATAAGTTATAAGTGGTTGGAACTGAAGACCGTTTGTCGACACGTTGCGTTGCGCGTGCGCAGACAACCTGCGTATACAATGCTTGTTCCTACATTTCGTATATATTGTGTCAGTTTTTTCATCGACATTATTGATATGAGATAATTGACTGTTTGAAAAATACTGGCTCAATCTAGTCATAAGATCAATTTGTAAGCTGAAATTTATTGATTTACTATAAAGCATTTTTTGTCTTAAAAACTTTGAAACGATAAGATACTATATATTTATGTATTGTAGTTATTCATATGTTATCGAGACGGTCTGCGTGATCGCATATTATAGAAATATAGTCAAAGTTTAGAAATTTCCGCATTTATCAGTTGTATTGCACAAAACGTACTTAGTAAATACTGCGACCAGTCACGGATGCTGGTTTAACTACTTATACTTTTGTATATGTAATAATGAACATACATAAAGCATGTGATCTCATCATATAAGTGTACCGGAATGTGAATATAATGTACCCTCTCGCGCAATAGGGCGCCAGCACGAAAATTTACAATAAAGTATTTGTAACGTCATCGACTAAATTTGTGCTGTTTAAAGTACACTACTATGTCAAGTAGAAATTAAATTAATGGATACATCCTCGCAAATTTTCGTGCCAGCTCCTTTACAATGATCACTTTCGATTCTGTTTTAACATTCCAGTAACAATGCTCTCGGATAATCTGTGTGTGATTTTTTTTGATGATTTAGACAAGCTTCTATAGTTTCCTTAGGCGAATACATAGATTTATCTAAGTGTTATTCTGTGTGTTTGGTTCCGTAGCTAATTACAGTGTAAATAATAGTCTCGACGAGGGACAAAATTAAAGTGTGCTCGATTTCAATGTACGACCGAATGTACGCTGTGCATTTAGGATATTTATTTCATTTAAGATTTAATATAAATGTAAGTAGGAAGTCCATTAACAATTGCCAAAATCGACGAGAACTTTTAACATTGTTGATTTTTTTTAATTCTTTTTTTCCCTTAAATTATTTAATATTTATTTTGGGACCAAATTAATTTATTATGAACTTACATCTTTTATTTATGTATTTTTGGTGTGTTCAGTTTAAAGATTTTTATTTATAAATAAATAAAGAAACCAAAGTGTAAACCGCATAGTTTTTCCTTTCCATAAAATGTTTAGTGTTATTATTTACGTTTTGTGAGGTGATAAAAATATAATCTACAGTCGTGACCCCGAGTTTCTTTCTTATAATTTAAATATTATAAGTAAACCTGCCTTTAAACACCTTAGTTAACAAACTTACTTTATTACTTTCTGATGAAAAGTCTACTACTCATGTTTAAAACTGAAGATTTACTGTGGACTTAATATTTTGCTGGGTAAGTTGGAGACACTGATAGTTTTAAGATAAATCTTATCATATGCATTTTATTGTGATTAAATTCATCAATCTACAGACTACTACTGGAATTCATACATATGGTAAACAAACTTTCTACAGATATGCTGATCCAGAAATAGCAGCAGTCTTTGAGTTATATATATCCAACCAAACTTTCATTTTTGTATTAATCAGTAAAATGATGAAGATTAAATAAACAAAACACAATAGAGTTTAAACAGTTTTATTTTTAGATTTCTTATTTCGTTTTCTCTTCTTCGTTTTTTTAGCAGCTGGTGAGATTGAATCTTCATTTGGGTTATCGTCTCCATATGATATAGTCACAAATGCACCTGGTTTTCTTTTCATTGGTGGTTTTTCAACACATTCAGAATTATCACTATCACTAGCATTCTTTACCTCATCTTCACCTTCACCTTCGTGGTCAGATTCTTCTTTCTTCACAAGATGGTTTTGTTTATTCAATGTTATACAGGTGACCCTACAGGATGCATTGTTTGTACATATTTCTTGTAGTTTTTCATCTTTAACCTTCCAAGCTTTCATCTCTCCCGAGCTAGAAGCTGAGTAAAGAATGCTATTCTCATAATACAAACATTTCACTCTTTGTTTGTGGCCTTGGTAAGTTAGTGCTTGACTATCAGCAACATTCAATGTTATAATGTTGCCATTTTCTAAACCGACATAAATTCTTTCATCATTAATCCATTGTATTGATGTTGGTTTTGAATTGCAAGATATTCTTTTTTCTATGCCAGCTTTGCTAATAGTCCAAACATCAAGGGTTTGCAGGGACAGTAATGAAAATCTATCACCTCCTGGAGAAAACTTGATTTCTGTAGGCAATGCTAATCCTTTACTAGAAAGGTTGATGGTAAATGCTGGTCGACCTTTGACTAAATTCCATGTTCTTAGTGTTTTGTCACCACCAATACTTAATGCCAATTTGTCAGATGGATGAACAGCTATAGCAGTAACTGGTTCACCTGAAACAGATGTTTAACACCCTCAGCGCCAGACCCTAAGTGAGTGTTAAAATAAAAGAATAAAAAACACAACATTGTTTTTTTTTGTTGAATTGTGTTTAAAATGACATATATCATATACAATTTTTCACCCACATTTTTTTCCCCTTTTTCCTTGGATTTTTATTCATGTGACATTTAGATACATGTGGATTGGAAAATAGTTCATTTGAAATTCATACCTCACAGGCCACATACACAGTTCTACACACTGTGTGAATAAAAGATACACATTGCACCTAAGGTGTTAATTAAACCAAAAAATCCTTTTTTAAAGTCACATTGATCACAAAGATTATGGAGAATTAGGTGAATTCATGGTGCTCTAGTTACAAATTTCATACCTACATGTAACAAAAAAGTTATAGAAACTATATGGTATGTTTACCTCCATGTGCTTTTTTCCAAATCTTTTCAATCTGCCAATTTCCTGTCCTGGTAATAATTATTGAACCATCATCACTTCCAGTCAATAAATGTGTACCATTGTTAGTAAAAGCGACGGCATTGATTGTGCCATCGTGGTTCATAAGAACCGTGTGCTCTTTACGAGTTTTTAAATCTATAACAACAACCTTATCATCTGTTCCGCCTGAAGCGAGAAATTTTCCAGCAATCGCAACGCATCGCACCGATGCAGTATGTGAATGTGTTGCAAAGGTCTGCTTTAATCGAGTAACCTAAAAAAAAGGTAAATAAAAATTGGTTCCTGAAATATAATCTACAGTCGTGTCCCCGCATACAATCATGGGCATGATTTTATGTATACTTACATTATCCTCAGAGCGCAAAGAATATCCAAGTAAAAATCCTTCGTAAGTACCTATTACTAACTCGTCCATTGTAAAATAGTGTTACTGTTATTACACTTGTACTTAATTTAGTAACACATACATAAAATAAAAATATAACCTAATCCCACATTGCTTAAGAAACGTCAAATGCAACAGTTTGTTTTGATAGTCGAATGTCAACTAAACCTCAAAGACAACCAAAAACAGGATTGTTTTGCTGACACTGTTAGATTCTTACAAAAAAATATCACATCGTTCTTAAGATCAAAGTTTTACGTATAAAGTACAAAAAGGATAAATTATAAAGATATGAAAAAAGTAGTTTGCTAAAAAATGAGAAACAACTCCTTACTTTGGCAACATTGTTTGACAGTGTCAAAAAAAGAAAGAAGCTTCCGTAACAGTTTTAGATATTTTTCATAAATATTGCAAATGAATCTTTTATAAGCTTGTAATAGTTATTTGGTTTAAAGATTGCTTGCACGAAGACTTTATCATTCTGGTAAGTGATTAATTTTTAAGGCTCGGGTTCGAGTATTGTTTGTATGTAGGTATGTCACTATTGATTTAGATCGAAAAACTAATGTACGTTTTCTTATAGGATTCCCAAAAGAGGACTTATTTAGACATCTACAAGATGGATTTGGCGGAGACAATGAAGAATGTGTTAGCAAAAAGCACTGGCAGTGCAAGCAGTGCGGCGAGCTCGTCCGGAGCCGCAACGCCGCACGGTGCCGAAGGATACGTCACTGAGAAGCTGTACATGCTTCTGCAGTTGTACTTGCAAAATAAAGGCTGGAGTCCCAGTATAGAACTGTTGCAATGTTTCAGTGACCTCAAAGAATCCTCTATGTTGCCGAGTGCTGCTTATTTACAGTAAATAATGTTTATTCCTTTACTTTTATACTTGATCTCCTAAGAATATGATACCTATATAACCATAAGAGAAATATAAATATTTGTTCTTTTGGCTTCTGATAAATAAATGTATGATTAAAGTTATTAAAATATATTTTACGTCTATTTTCAGAATGATGGCATCTAGAGTTGGACTCGACACACAAGGAAGACTGATATTGCGAGAAAACGGGAAAATAATCTTACCATATGAGCATTTTGCAAATGCGGTTATGTTGAAGCACATGAATGGTCCACATGGACTACATCTAGGTCTGGAAGCCACAGTTAGGGCGGTAAGTACTTATTTATTAGTTCATTTTATTAATTATTTACTAGTTGTACATATTGTAGTAAAAAAATTATCACCTATTTCTCTCTTAGTGTCATTTTAACTGCTTCTTTTTTATTTTTTTGAGTCAAATAATTTCCTAAGTGAATATTATTAATTAGTATAACCAACCACAAAATGTATTTTATTTTTAGGTTGTTGAATCATACACAATAGGAAGGGAACAATTTGGTATGGAGAAAGAATTTATAATAGAGGTGGTGCAGAATTGTCCGAACCCTGCATGTCGGTATTACAAGAATCAACTGGAGATGACACAGAAATCAATTCAACAACATTTATCTCAGCAGCCAACATATATTCCAGGTATGAAATATAACTTGAACTCCCTATTTTTTCATAACAATGACTTCTATTCACTTTAAGCCTTCACAGGTTAAAAGATATGTATTTGTGATAAAATGGTGGCCATTGTGCGAGTAATATGCTTTCAATTGTCAATTATCAAGCTTTGTGATTAACAATTCATCTAACTCCTTGATTGCTTCTTATGGTGTCTTAACTTTCTGGATTGGGTACATAAAGTTCAGAGTAGATATCTGACAATACATTTAGTTATCTAATCTGGATAATGGAAGTGAGGCAAAGTAAGACCTCCACACGTTCTGCTAGGATAAACTTGTGCTATGCATGCTATTGACCAAATGATCAAATTTGTATGAAACATCCATTTTTATTGTGTGGTGATTGGGTTGTTTGGGCGTAGAGGCGGGCAGTTCGAGCCTGTCTGACAGCCAGGCGGTGGAGCGGCTGCTACGCGGTTCTTTGCCGCAGGACTACCAGCTGCCACTTGGGCCTCACCTCGCTGCCCTCAGTGAGTTACATATTACATTGATGACACATGAGACTTCATCACTGGGGATAGATAAGGGGATGTAGTACAATATTTGCCAGATGTTTGAGCAAATCTTTACTTCGCGAGTTGCGAGCAGATTTAAGGTGTAGATGTGCATGCCGGGATGCAAGGGATACATACTTCACAGTGCTCCAATGACGTAAAAACTACAGTGAAAATGGTTTTTATATTCCAAACAGAATTTATGCTGATTATTAACATGTGATCTAATTTTGTAATGATTTATTGACTGACAAATGGTTATGATTTATCCATGTCGATCTCTAGGGATTTTAGACATCTTAGTATGTCAAAGTAGTTTATAAATGTTTATACATTCTTTCGATTCTCTATGGAGGGCTATCTTGTGTTTCATTGCTCAAACTTGGCAAATCCTTTGGTGCCATATATGAACTGCTTGCATTGTTGCCTTATAATAAACAATAAATATTTATCTCCATTATTTTTATTCCATAAATAATGTCTAAAATAATCTTTACACTTATTTATTTATGTAAATAATATGCACATATGATAATGTTTTCGTAACTGGCTACTGTGCTGCATATATGCTTTTTATTTGCTTTGCACTAACAATAAAAATAATTTACACATAAATGAAATTATGTTTTTAACTGCTATGAGGTATATCACATTTTTCTTTTCTTAGTAATTATAAGAGTTTATTATTTTCATTCAAGTAATAAAAATGTCATAGTATTTTTTTAGAGACTTCTAAGTTTGTACAGTGGGGGAAAATGACGGTGTTCCACTTTAAAAGCTACAATTGTTTAAATATTTTGAATTGAGATGCAGAACAAAATCCAATATCAACGCAGCTTATAAATGTATCTGTATGGAAAAAGTCAATTAGTCATCCATGGCTAGTTTCTTTTAAATATTATCCCTTCATCTGCACTCACTGCTTTCTAGTTATTTGTAGGAAGAGGCGGTATTTGTCTTGTTGCAATGAACAAGGCAATTGTTCCTGAAGTAAAACACCGCGGATTCCGCGACTGAACATAGTTGTAGGAATAATTGTTTAGTAGATTTTCGTGATTATCTTCAGTAGTGTAGTTGTTAAGTAGCGGCTCGTTACAGGTGGTCTGACGGGCGAGAAGTCAGAGCGGCGGTCGCAGGAGAAGCTGTCGCAGCACCAGCAGCTGCTGCTGCACCAGGGCCGCTCGCTGCACGACAAGTACGGCCACACGCGCTCCTCCGCCTCCTCGCAGTCCAGCCTCGACACCAAGGCCAAACATCATTACTCCGATGAACATAAACTTACCGATTTCCTAAGGTGAGTTAATTATCGTTACAATTCAATAAACTCTACAGCAATACAATTGCTATCCCCTTCATTCTTTTGAATGAGACAGAGACAAAATGCATACAAGTGTTAGAAAAAAAAATGTGTTTTAAAGTCTGGTAACCGCTGATTGATGATATGAAAGTGTATTATCATACTGCTTTCAGTATAACTACTTTCTTATAAATTTGCTGTTGCTCGCGACTTCGCTCGTGTGAAATTAAAAATGAAATAAAACTTGTCCCGTGTTACTCACTCACTTTTAAATGGTTAAAGAATTTTTGAAATCGGCTCAATAGTAAAACAATAGAGTTGTTTCAATACATACAAAAAATACAAATCTTTCCTCTTTATAATATGAGAATAGGTTGTTCAAGATAGTAATTCGCAAGCCTACGGATTTGTTTCAACAATCATGAAAAAACTTTATCCAGGGCGAACTTGGAGAGCCTGGAGGGTCTGTCGGGCGCGGGGGGCGCGGCGGGCGCGGCGGGTGCGGCGGGCGCGGCGGGTGCGGCGGGCGCGGCGGGCGGCGGGCAGGAGCGCGTGGTGCGCGCGTTCGCGGAGCTGGCGCGCAACCTGCAGCGCATGCGGCCGTGCGTGCGCCCCGCCATGTGCAAGCCGTACGGCAAGCAGAGCGAGCAGCTGCAGAAGAGTTAGTATCTAAAATGTTCATAAGACACGGGATATGGAGACTCTGTTTGGTATACATAGTATAGTGGCGAAATTCTGCGGTGTTCTTTTTTTTATTACAAAAGGTGGCAAACGAGCAAGCGGCCACCTGAAATGGCGAAGCGACCGCTGTCCATAGACATCTGCAATTGCAGATCCGTTGCCCATCCTTAATCGAAAGAGGAGGAGACATATCTAAAGAGGATAATTCCCCTACCTATTCGTCTTCTCCACTGTCAAATCCACTTTTCCTTCTCATCCATTCCTAGAAAAGGTGAAAAGTGTAAGGGACTAAAATTAGGCTTCCGTCACCACACTCATCAGACGAAATGCTTTGCTTCCACTTCACGCCTCTTTACTTTGTTCCAATTACAACTGTAATTGCCTTATTCCATGGAACGAGATAAACTCCATCTCTTACAAATAACCTATTAGATAGCAGTGAGTTGTGCCAACAACGGGTACAAATAAAAAGCAATATGCGTGTACCACTTTTATTTTGTTGTTTAAAAATTGCGTTCTATTGGTTATGGTTGACTTGAACAAAATATTGATATAACTGTAACTTTTAAGGGAATCCACCAGATTTCGGGATTGTACCATCAGTATGCACTTCATAGGATGAGTTATCTGTAGGAATTTAAGTATGTTTAGTTGAATTAAGAATATGAATGTGTATTGCAGTTCTGCTGGACACGATCCAGCTGGTGCAGTCGCTGCGCAGCTACCTGCCGCCGCCGCACATACAGGTCACCTCCTGGAAGAATGATGACAAGCTGCGGTAAGTCCCATACTATATTAGCTGTTGCTCGCGACTTCGCACACGTGTAATTTAAGAATATACCCTTTGTTACTCAGCGATGACCTAGCTTTTTAATGGTGAAATAATTTTTAAAATCGACCCAGTAGTTTTTGTGTTAAAAGTATTGGACTTGACGGAGAATGGCACGGATGGGTAAGGAGAAATATCTTTTTGTGTGCTATCCTTTGTTGATTAAAAGTAAGCAAAACATCACCAAATGCGGATAACAGCGGTTGCTTCGCTATTTTGGCGAATTCGGTGACCGTTTGCTCGTTTTTACCTTATACTAAAGAAATTTAACAAAGTATACGAACTATTAGAGAGATGTTTTCAGCATTACACACTTACACATTCTTACCAGACTAATGATTCTTTTATAATTTTTCTACATTCCAGTTTTAATTTTGTCCCCTCTTATAGTGATTTTTCTACTTATTTGTCTTTCAGTTCCAATAATATGGATGAACTGGAGAGCCGTAAGATCGTGAGCGGCAACTAGCCCGCGGAGCACGCCGCGGCTGACTCGTAAGCTGTCGCCTGTCACCTGTCATCATGACACTTGTCACCTGTCACCTTGACACCTGTCACTCGCGCCTTCATCCAATGCAAAGAGATGTCTTAACTGTCATCGCAATTTTAATACATTGACAGTATAAACTACATATATCGTGTAAGAAACTATTGGGTTATATTTGTGCAATTTTTTTCTATATGTCTGTATGTTTTGGAGATATTTTTCTCCGGCACAAACTTGATTTGTTTATATTTATCCTGTTTAGTTTAATGCGATTGTCTATGCTTTCTTGTTGATTTTTTTAGGACTTAAAGCTATCGGTTGATCTGAATTCGGTTTTATATTATCGTTACATACAGTTTTGTATGATTTTCTATTGCTTTTATATACTTTATATGTAAAGTATAGTCTAACCAAGAATATAAAAAACCAACATTACTTTCAAATGTGTGTGAATTTTTTTTTTCGCATTATTGAGTTTTTTATATTCTTGGTCAGACTATGTATTGTAGGTACAGTGATGTGAGTTTACTATCGTAAGTGCATTATGTACTGTGATAGAGGTTAATTAGATGTAGGAGCAAAGTCTTGACATATTTCACGTAACTTCTACTTAAATACATAGTTTGAGATAACTTGTACATGTGTAAATAACATTTTTGTTCACGCGTGAAGGAAATGTTAAGAAAATGTATTTCTTTAAACAATGTTCTTAATTAATATTTACAAAAATGCGTAAAAGGTTTATTTTATGATATTTTGTATGTTTTCATATTCAATTATAATTTCTATGATAATTTAAAATATCCAGAATAAAGAATTCATTGATGCTAGTTTGTGGTGAGACGTTTGAATAGAAAGTGACTTAACATAGATGTTAAGAGTCTAGGAAAGAAATTTATTTATAGTGCGACAAATTTATCTGACCCGGTGAGATATCTTGTTAGTTCTTTCAATAAAAAACATGGTTGACAAGAAAACCCATGATAATGGTCGGTTTATACTTGGCCAGTCCAGTTGGTCAGTAGTGCACGTGGCACATTGTGAACGCTAACTGGCGCCAGTGAGTCACTGGCCGTCACAACTGGCCAAGTGTGAACCGAGCATAAGACAACTACAGTAATTTCCATATTGTTGTCAATAAATAAAATAAAATAAAGAAAAAAATAGTTACAGACAAGTATCTTTTATTTGTTATAAGATACTTGTGTATATAAATAAATATTTTTTTTTGATCTATTGACATTTGTAGTGACTTATATCCACGGGGTCAGATAAATTGTTGTATCTATAATGCGATGGCCGCGTCTTGTCAAGAATGAGGGAGAAATGGTAAGAAGACTGCAAGTTTGGTCGTAGCTAGTTGTTAGTTCTGTGAGGAAACGATGGTCTCTTATATACGTATTTAAATTATTTCTTAGCGTTTTTCGAAAACTACATTTTTAACTACTAAACTACATTTTTATAATTTTTCGTCCGCAGTTTTCAGCTATGTTTAAAAGTGTCTTGTGATGTAACAAAAATCAATTTTTATTTAATTATTTTTAAGAAGCGGTTTACCTTTTAGGGTACTTAGAATTTAATTTAAATTTGACAAAATTTCATTACTTATTTGAAAGGCAAATTATTACGCATTTTTCGCGGACGAAATTTTATTATTGTAGTTGCAGCTTCCACATAAAAAAAAACGCCTTCACAACTATTTTAGTGCAATATTTAGGCAAAGCCTATTTATGTTTAAAATTTTGTAACTTAGTACAGTAATTCTAAATTATTAAGCGGAAGTGGTAAGATTAAGTTAGTCTTAACTTTTATGGGATATTGTGTTTCATCACATTTTTTTCATTTCTGTCGTTTATACAAGCGATATTTAATCATACTTATACTAAATATGTAATGGCAGTTATTTTTTCAATAAGTAACGAGGCTTCAAACATCACTTAGTTTAAGTTAAGTACTCGTTATTTCAAAAAGTATTAAATTTTTTCCAAAAGAATCTCTATCTCTCTGTATTAGAATTAAGATTTCTAGTCAAAAATGGATTTCATATTTTTATTATTCTTTTCGAAATTATAAGATTTTTTTTTAAATTAACGGAATATTTGGAACTGATTTTAGACGATAAAGGACATCACACGATAGAGCTAAGTGCGCATTGTTTTTGTAATTGTACTAATTGATCAAATATTAACAGACATTCAAATTCTACGCTTAAACTACAATTTCTATTTAAATTTTGACAACTGTCAGATTGTAATTGACATTTGTTGATTGTATGACAGATACCTTACAACACAGCTGGTCTGTGTGCTATTCAGATCTTATTGGATTTTCATTGTTGAAAAACTGGTATTAAAACATGTTGACTTATACACTATGTTTTGAAAATAAACATGTGAAATACAAGAGAAACATTTTCATAGAGTTAATAAACCGCTGTTATTTTTGGCAATTGTAAATATTATTGAATAAAAAACAATTTGGATTTATAAACGACCACGACCGAAAAATCATTGTTACGTTTGTACCGAGCGTGCGATTTTTTTCTAACTATTTTATAATATAAATAGGCGTTCGGCTTGTGACATTATCATTAAATTATCGTCTGTAAAAGGGACACCGTTGACTAAACTATCGCAGAACTACTCAGTCTCGCTTTGATTTCTATGAGCCTATATGGAGGTGCGCACACTACTCGGTTTAGTAGTGCAACTAAATAGTTGTATAGGCTGAGATACAATCGACAATCGCACAATAGTTGTTCAATAGTTTAGTCAAAGGTGTGCGCCCGATGTAAGAATTTACAACTTTTTTTTCCCAATGCATCATCATCATCATCATCATCATCAACTTTCCCTTATCCCTTATGGAGGGTCGGCACAGTATGTGCTGCTCTTCCATACATCTCTATCTTATGCGCGCACTTAGCTAAAGTAGATTGTATTTTATTACATTAGAATAAGACTTGTGAAGTTAACATTTGTATCGTGAGTTTCTACCGCCTCTACATGTTGTTTATCTCTGTTTTTTCAATGATATGTAATGAGACGACAATATCTTTTAATATGTTTCTAACAGCGGAAATTCACAGTACAATTAATGTGTTTTATTAGTTATTTTGGATATCTCAGTGAAATGTTCTTGCTTATTCTATTTACATTGTATTTTTTATGTGTACTTTTTTTGTGATAGAAATTTGCTTTCGTTTTTAAAATATTCAGATCTTATACTTTAGATCAGATTAACTTTTTTTGACTGCAAAAATGAGTATTTACGTTTATACAGTAAGGAAATTATTTGTATGTATAATGTTTGGCCTTGCCATGTAATTTATTTTTGCCGAAATTATAATTAACTTTAAAAAAGTATAGTGACTTGAAACAGTGCTTAGAGTAAATAAATATATTCAAAACTTTATATTTGTTTTATTGAAATATCATCCCCTAAATTGTAAGAAAATCTTTTTTTAAGCTCAGTAGCTTTTAACCTGATTTTTCCCTTATTGTTTGTGTTCGCGATATCTTCTAAACTGTTAGTCCAATTAAAATACTGTAAAAAACAATTTTATTCTGACAACAAAGGCACATATTTGGATAAGGATTAATATTGAAAAAAAGTGGTTAGAACTTTTTGAGACACAATTCTTTCATACATCATTTTTATACACCCCTAACGGTTTAGGCAGCATAAAAGTTGTGATTTTTGTGATTATGGTTTTTAACGCCATGGTACAGAAATATGTTGTTCATTAATAGTTCCTTAACATTATTAATAAAACAAACATTAGGGTTACTCATAGATAATTTGCCTTCCTAATGGTGAAAGATGTTTTTAAATCGGCCCAGTAGTTTTTGAGTTATTACAATACATACAAAAAACAAATCTTTCCTCTTTATAATATTAGTGTAGAAAGGTCACAAAAAACACAAAAATTTGAATCACTTTTTATTTACATACAAATAGTATACAAATTCTAAAATATAATCTTAAGGAACGTTAAAATTAAAACAATTATTCATACAAATGTAATACGACATATAGTTAACATAATTGAAATAAGTTCTTTTATAAGATAAAATAAACATTTTATTATTAACATATACAAATAGATGAAACATCCTGAGGGCAGTGAATACGCGGACATCAAAATACATCTAAATATTTTGTATAAAACTTAACTTGATTAACTTAGATCAAGTTACAAATAAGACAGTTATCTTATTTGGCGCAATATTCTTTAAAATTTTATTATTTTCATTATTCAAGACATTTACAGAAATGTACACGCTACTTGTTACAATTACAAAAAAGTAGACTTAAAAAGTGAACATTTTTTCGATTCTATAAGGGGTAGCGCCCATTGCCTTACAAACTATAAAATTATCAGTAACGGAAATGATGAAGTACACACATATATTATCAACAAATATCTTCACAATTCAAATTAAATTTACGTACATCGATTGTTTTTAGAATATCCCAAAGATTTAATAATAAAAAGCAAAACATCTAAAGAATCTTAGTATGTAAGAGTATTAAAAATTTTAATAACAAAGTTTGTGCTAAGTCTTAAAATATTAGTTTGTTAAAAATTCTCATTCGTTCCTTTTGAAAAAGAGTTAAATTCGTAGCGTTTTAGGAACAAGAATATTTCTTAATGCAATTAAGAGCAATAACAAACAGCTATTCGATGTGATCAAAGCGATGTTTATTGTTTAACTAATTCTAATTAAAAATGAATCTAATTAAGTTAAGTTTATCACATAGATAAACAATTTTAATTTTTTGTCGCATACTTAGTATTATCTGTAAATTGCTTACTAACATTTAGTGCAAAAGTTCACGAGAAGATTTTATTTGAAATCACATATAATTCATAATAAACTAATATAAAGAAAACTAAATTAGAACTTAATGTGATACGTACAAGACCACCTAGTGTAATAAATGCAAAACTACCGAAAGTCCATTTCGTCGATGTCAATCGATGTCAATTTAAATAAAATTGTAACAAGCTCACGTATTAACGTCGATGGGTTTGAAGACGTAGACGGAGTCGTCGAGCCAGTAGTAAGCCTGCGCGAAGTCGCCCTCGCACAAGTAGGGCGCGCGGCTCCACGACGACAGCTCGAAGCCCAGCTCCCGCATCCACGACACGAACGAGCTCGCCTGCTCCTCGAACGTCACGCCAGTTATCGGCAGACGCTCGAGCGGCTTGTGGTCCGGTGTTACTGCAATAAGAAAAACATAGTATTACTGATGTAATAATGACCAATATCTAGTGTAAGAGGTGATCCTCTTGAAGATGTTATAAGTTGGCGTGTCAAGATTGCAAAATCTTGAAAAATATCCGATGTATCTTGGAAATGTGAGGTTATACTCATTGTGTATTGTCAGATGTCACGTATGTGATCATGCAGTCGATCAGGGTTGTTAAATCACGTACCTTCCACATATGGTTTATATGGTAGGACGAGTGCGAGTAGCAGGACGCCGTGCGGAGCGAGCGCGGCGCGCGCCTGCCGCAGCATGCCGCGCGGGTCCGCGCACCTGTCCAGCAGGTTCAGCATGCACACGCACTCGAACTCACCGCCCTCGCACCACGACTCCGTGTCCAGCAACCTGATCACATCATACCACACCAGTGATTTGGAAATTTGTGTACAATTCCGTAAATCTACTCACCTACATTTCCATGCAAAATGTAAAGTCTGACCATTAACTTACGTGTATCCTTTAGTCTTGAGAGCTTTGCGCATGCAGGAGGATATCTCAGTGGCGAGTTTGTCGTCGTACAGGTGTGCGAAGCGACGGCTCACCTCGCCGTCGCC